ATGTGGAAATTAAAATAGGCTATTAGGCTGCACAATCATTTGAAACAGGTTTTGATAAAAACATTTTATAACAGGATTTACCTCAAAAGTTGAAAAGGTATTTTCTGTTTCTAGCTCTAACAAATATATGGGTATTTAACAAATAGATTAGAAATCAACTTTATGAAAAATAGTATTTGTATACAAATAAAAGCTATTTTCCAAATGTGAAACAGAGGCATTCTGTTTGGGGCACTGAATTGGAAGCCAAGAATACACGAGCTATGTCCCACTTGAAAAGCATATTGTGTTATCTGCCTCAAACTATTTTATTACCAGCTCTATAATCATTGCCAACAGGGCAAGAGGAGAGTGGAGATTTGGGGAAGAAATCTATTACATGGTCAAAGAAAAAGAACAATAAAACAATAACAACTAGACCAAAAACCTGTTACTGTAATAGCATTTCAGGTTTCAAAAAAGTTTCTTTGAACTGTTTTAATTGGTCCTAAAACTCAGGGTAGGCCATAATAAGAGCAAATCTTTTTTTTTTTTTTTTTAAGATTTTATTTATTTATTTGAGAGAGAAAGCACAAGCCCAGGGGAGAGGCAGAGGGAGAGGGAGAAGCAGGCTCCCCGCTGAGCAGGGAGCCCGATGTGGGGCTCAATCCCAGGACCCTGGGATCATGACCTGAGCCGAAGGCAGACGCTTAACCCACTGAGCCACCCAGGCGCCCCAATAAGAGCAAATCTTGTCATCAATGGCTAGGTCGCATTTCAGGCCAATAGGGTATGTGAACTCCAAGCTGGACTGGAATGGGGTCAGTATCACTAAATTTCTTCAGGGAAAAGCAGTCAACATATATATGTTAGGAGCCTGCTATATGTGAGGTACAGAACTGGGGATATAGTGATTAACAGGGCAGATGTTGTTCCTGTCCTCCTTTTTTTTAAAAGATTTTATTTATTTATTTGAGAGAGAAAGAATGAGACAGAGAGAGAGAATGAGAGGGGGGAGAGTCAGAGGGAGAAGCAGACTCCCTGCTAAGCAGGGAGCCTGATGCGGGACTGGATCCCGGGACTCCAGGATCATGACCTGAGCTGAAGGCAGTCGCTTAACCAACTGAGCCACCCAGGCACCCTGTTCCTGCCCTCCTTAAGGCTACTTCATCTTTAGGCTCTGGGTTATGACTCTATAAGCCACTGGTTGGAAGGTCTCAGTAATCTGGAAGAGCAACTTTAGAATGTTGAATGAGCTTGGATAGCAGGGTGGCACTGATGAGAAAACAAGAGTTTTGGAGTCAGGCTAGACCTGGATTTTGAACCCAGTTTTGTGAATTATTAGTGTTGAGACTTGGCAAATTATCTGTCTGAGCCTGTTTCCTTATTAGTAAAATTATAACATTTCTTCATAGGGTTATAATGAGAATTAAGTGGAATGCAATTAATTGAGTACTACTGAAGTGCGTGGTATAGATACTCAATGCTTCCTTTCTTGAGAGAGAGTAACAATAAATACATAGAAAAAACAGTTATCCTTTCTGAACTTGAGAAATGCTAGGCACGCAGATAAAAGCTCTGGATGACTCCCTTTGCCCCCTTTCAGGCTTGAATACAGTGTTGACCCCCTACCAACAAGATCTTGTTCTTTGCAGAGAACTAGAACTGCTCCAGAGGGTAGTATTCAGAGCAGGACATCCCCATTAGCTTGAGAAAGGTATTGCCTACAAGAAGTGAGTCACAGCACCTCCATTGTTTCCAACAACAAAGTGGATGGGAAACACTTAAGCTTTGCTAAACAATGCTCAAAGTCTTGCTGGACCAAATGTGTTAGACTATGTAGACAGTGTCATGAAGCCCATATCCACCATTTTGCCTTCAAAGGGGGAGGTGGGGAGAAAAGAGAGGAGAAGAAGAGGAAAAAGGGAGAGGGGAACAAAGAAATGAGGGGGAGGTAATGGAGGAAGAAATAGAGTTTTGATGCCATATAGAAATGACTGTAGATATCAATTCTTCCACTCTGGAATTCAGCTAATCACCTATTTTTCTCTGAGCCAAACAGAATATTGACTTGGAATCCAGAATCACTACACTGTAAAACTTTATACTGGCTTCATACATGTTAAACCTCAAAATGAAATCCTACTGGAAATGAAAATTAAAGGAAATTTGTGCTGACCAAAAATGAAGGTTTTAAAAAATATTACACACCAGTCATTTCAACATCCTATCCAACAGTATGTGATTTTTGTATAGGTTCCATTTAAAAAAAGAATTATGCATTTCAAAAGTATTTCATATTAATGCAATATACGTAGTTGTGGTTGCAATATAAGTAGATGACAAAAAAACAAGAGCTCTAACAATTTGACTTGCATCTTTTGCTTTCATTGCCAAAAAAGTGTCTTTAGTCATTCTGATTAAATACAAATTCTATTCTATAAAGCCTTAATAAAAAAGACAAGGGTTTTTTTTCTTTCCTTTTTTTCACTTTTACTACAACCTTAAGTTTCATTGTTTGATAATTTACTTTTCAACAAGAGTGTTATTACTTCTGATTAAACATAATGGGACACTAGGGTATCAGTGTCTTAAATTTTAGATTAAAATTTAGCATAAATTTTAGATTCAAAAAGAAAGCTACATTCAGCCTGATTCTGGTTTTAAAATTAAAATGATATCATACTAAAGAATTATACACAAAACTACAACTTTTGGAAAGCTGTAATTTGGTGGAATGTTGCCTAAGAAAACATCATGGAAAACGAAAAATCATTAAAAATATAAAAATTTTACCAAACCAAACCACCATTAATGAAAGAGGATATAGTTACTTTTATTCCTGAAAATAATCAATTTCTTTCTTTTTTTCTTAAGATTTTATTTACTTATTTGACAGAGAGAGACACAGCAAGAGAGGGAACATGAGCAGGAGGAATGGGAAAGGGAGAAGCGGGCTTCCCACTGAGCAGAGAGCCTAATGTGGGGCTTGAACCCAGGACCCTGGGATCATGACCTGAGCTGAAGGCAGACGCTTAACGACTGAGCCACCCAGGCGCCCCTGAAAATAAACAATTTAATCAGAGCCTTTCAGTACATCCATTTTTTTTTTTAATGGGGATTGTACTTTTGATATTTCATGGATACCAGTCAGGCATATAAAAATTATGAAATTTATAAAATCATTTGGGATAACCACAAAAATAATTATTTGTAACAGACAAAGACTTCCTAGAAAAAAAAAAGAAAATGGTAAAATGTGTTACACTTTTCCTAGGGATTTTGTACAAAAGCTGTAATGCTTAAAGACTAACCAAGAAACTCTTGGCTAACCAAAGTTGATGTCAACAATAGTCTTGATACTTTTTAAATTTGAGTCTACTTCATTTCTCCTCTTCTTTAGAACTTTCTCTAACCAGTTCAAGCTAAGGTAATGTCTCTTTTCTCTGATCTCTTATGGCAGTTATTGCTTGTACGGCTCATTTGGTAACTAATCATGTTCTCCTGCCATGTGACATCTCCTGTGTAAAGTATTTTACACTTTTTTTTTTTTTAAAGAGAGAGAGTGAGTGTGTACAAGCAGGGTGGGGGAGCAGGGAGAGGGAGAGAGAGAGAATTCCAAGAGGGCTTGGTGTGTGTGTGGGGGGAGCCCAAGATGGGGCTGGATCTCACCACCCTCAGACCATGACCTCAGCCAAAATCAAGAGTCCCATGCTCAACCTATGGAGCTAGCCAGGCGCCTTAAGTATTTACACTTTTTAATTTTTTCCCATCATTTATCTTTCCTGTTGTCCAGTTCTTCAACTACTTACGTCTCTTATTGTTACTCATCTTTACAACCATCCTGTCATCCCATTAACGTGAAAGCTCCATGAGGGCAGGAACTTAATTTCAAACTTCTTTGCCTCTTCCACAATACCCAATATTTTACACACACCTGCCACTTCGGAAATGTGTGCTGCCTTGGTTAACTTTTATAAATTTAAGAACTCTGTTTTTGAAATCAGAGAGGTATCTACCATCCATTAAATAACTCTAAGAAGTTTGGGTGACAGGTTCAAGGGCACTTGTTGCATCTGGCAGCCTCAAACATTAACCCTCACTGCTGCCATAAGCATCTTCCCGGAGAAGGCGACGATTAGTGAAGATGCATTACCGCGAAGAGCTCTTTGGGGCAGGTACTGGAGAGAGGATGCAGGGTGGAGGGCTGGGGCTGCATGACCGTTTTCGGGGCGGGCGGGACCGGCAAATCTGCGCCGCTCTGAGTGGGCAAACGGAATGGACCTTTCGCACCTCCCCGGGATGTGCGAATTGGAGGATGCGAATTAGCCGGCTTTCGGGGCACCGTGGAGATAGCGCTTTCTAAGTACAGGCTCGGTGGTGGCTGTTGTGCCCTGGTTGACATCTTCCTTTCCCGCTCACGGACTTCTGCAGACACGCGCTGTTCCGCGCTGCCGTGTTTTGCCCAGCGCTTTCCTTCGGAGCACCCAGCGAGCGGCGGGTCGGGGCCGCGGAGGCAGAGGCGCACGCTCTGGGGCGCGGGTTAACTTGCGCACCTGGCACCTGCCACAGGCTAGAAGCGGGCCGGCAAGCCGAGGGCCGCCGCCGCCCCCTCTCCCCTGAGCGGCCCGAGGCTGAGCACGCTCCCGCGGGCCGGCCGCGCCGCGGAGAGAGTGGGTGGGCAGGCGAGGGAGGGGAAGGGAGAGGAAGGAGGGAGGGAGGGAGAGGGCGAGGCGCGTCCCCGCGGCGGGGGCGCGCTCTCGCGCGGGCTGCCGGGATCGCTCGCCGCCGCTGTGGTAATGTCCGCCATGTTGGCCATGGCGCAGGGAGCGGATCGGGCGGGCGAGCGGCGGATCTAGTGTGTGGAAGCGGCCGCGGGCGGCGGGGGGCTGTTTTCGGGCGGGGTGGGCGCCCATGCTGTGGCCGGGGGCAGTGAGGAGGAGGAGGAGGAGCGGGCCGGCCGCGCTGCACTGAGGAAGGAGGTGGAGGAGGCGGCGGGAGTCCTCCCCCCCTCCCCGCCCGCCCCGCCGCCGCCGCCCGGGCTGTTCCTGTAAGGCGGGGAGACAATGAGTAAACTCTCCTTCCGAGCGCGGGCGCTGGACGCCGCCAAACCGCTGCCTATCTACCGCGGCAAGGACATGCCTGATCTCAACGACTGCGTCTCCATCAACCGGGCCGTGCCCCAGATGCCCACCGGGATGGAGAAGGAGGAGGAATCGGTAGGGACTCGAGTGTTTATTACCCCCCCTTCCCTCCTCCCCCCTCCCCTTTGTCAGTCGGGCCTCGCCATTCACAGAGCGCTTTACGCTCGCTGGAGGGCGCCTCTGCCGCTCCAACGCATGGGACCTTACGCCGGCGGAGTAGCGTAAACCCTCTCGGCCGGCGCAGCGCCCGCCCGCGGCCGCCATGTTGTTGCGTCCCAGTGTTGTGATTAGCTCGCAGCGCCGCTTACGCTGCCGTAAGGGGGCCTTGCCGTAAGCGGCGGCCGGGAATGGCGCAGGGGATGTTCTGGCCGCACTTGGCGTACGGCCTCTGTTTACCTCCTCCCCCTCCTCCCAATCTCTCTCCGGCGCGGGGTTAATTAATGGGCAGGGGATCCTTTGGCTAGGGAAGATTTTTTTCCCCCACTTTCAAATTTAGTTTTGCGTTGGGTTCTCTTTGAAGTGACTTATGGAAAGTAAAACGCGTTCAAAACAAACATCTTCCTCCTAGCAAGGTAACCCTCGCTCTCGAGCCGGCGGTGGTGCAGCGGGATGAGGCGGTGCAGCACTGCGGCGGGGGAGGGCGGGGGCCGCGACTACCCAGTGGGGTGTAGCGGTAGAGAGCCGTTGACCGGCTAGCTCCACGACCGCGAGAAGGGACGGCGCTGCCCGCCTGGCCGGGAAGGCGCCCGCTCGGCGCTCAGCGTTAGAAAGCAAACAGGGATGTTTAGCAACGAGCTGCTGGCGTTGCCCCGTCCCCGCGCCGTATCCCCGAGAATTGTCATCGGAGAGGAGGGTCTTCTAGAAGTTGAGGATTTAATGCATCTAAATTGACAGTTACGTTTTCTGATAATACAGCGCTTTCTGTAAAAATTCTGCTTTTCTCCCTGACGGGATTTTGCATACGGATAAATTTTATCTGGCTTGACTGTGTTTATGACTCTGGAATGGTGTTACTTGCGTGCGAACTTCATAGTAACTGCACCCTCAAGAATTTCTTCAATGAACCTGCGGTCCCGCCTTATTGTCAACCCTGGGTGTGCGTGGATTGGTTCTCTTGCTTCTGTGACTGTCAGAAGAAGGCTCGAGGTTTCTGTGATTGGTTTTCTCTTTTGACTATTAATATTGCAGGAAATGCTTTTATGCCTTTGATTGGCTGCTCCTGTTCTGACCTCATTATATTACCCTGTTATTACTACTTTCTGCTGTGATTTAATCACATTTCTCTTTGGTTTTTGGTTATTTGAAAGTCTTGCACTTTAAGTAGAAAATGAATATGGCAGTAGTATCGGGATGAACATTCAGTATTCAACTTTTCAAAGAGTATGAGAATTAATTGAATTGAACTTTAAAAAACACAACTTTGTATTCCACAAAGTTAAATTTCTGTTAATATTATTTTATGGGTTTTGATACAAAAGGAGAGGTAGCTTATGAGTATCAGTAGTGTATGTAATTACTTGGATCCAGTTATTTTGGTTTGGGAAGAACTGAAATCAGGAAACTTGTTCTAGAATGAACAGTTAGTCCCTGGAAGATAAATGACTTTTTGTGAACGTTGATCAGCAGTATACTTACTGCTTTATGTCCTTCGTTTGCCACATATATCTTGGTATTTTATCTGAATTCAGGAAGAAGACTTCCAGTTTAGTTATTTTTTTAATGTATTAAAAACAAATGTTTAACCCTTTCACTGTTAACTTTTTCAGTATAAGTTATGGTTTCCCTCTAGAGATTGGAAATTAGATTATATTGGATTATTTTCAGTACCCTGCTTCAACTGCCCAATTTTAGGGAAGAAGAAATCCAACTTCTGGTGGAACTAGAGTTGAAACCCAGGACTTCTGACTCTCTGTCCTGTGCTTTCTACCTCTTCAGTGTTATAAGTGGAGGTACTTAAAATCAGAACAAAACTAAACAAACCCTGACAGTTGAGATTTATAGTCTAAAGTCTTTTGCTTCCCAGAATGTCCAGTTGGGGTGTTAATTTTTTCTTTTCATCTTTTAAGTTAACACTAAGAAGACTTGTGCTTTCATAAGTGACAGCCAATTCAGTTCTTCTGGTCTTATTTACAGGGTTTCTGTTATTCGGCAGAATTATTTGTTCTCCAAAAAATACTCTTCCTTGATCAACAGTTCTAAGCAGCAGTAAAATAGAAATCTCATAAATGTTTTGTGTTTCACTTGAGTTGTATTTCAATTCAACTTCCATTATCAACAACATGTTTTAATTACTTTCGTAAGTATTTTTTTTTAATCATGTAGACTTGTAAAAAGAAAATAAAACCAACCTTGGCTTGTGGATTTATAATTGTTGCTTTGTATTTCTAAACTGTCCACAGTATGGCCTCCCTTCCTGTTTGGTTGACAGAATCCTTTAACTTCATTTGAACCACCTTCATGGATCTTACCCCTCTTCTTGCCCCCCAGTAAAATTAAGGACTGTATCTATAGGATTGTTTTTAGACTTTGTTTATATAGTCATTGACTCAGTTTTGAGTTACATTTTGGTAATACTTAGATAATATAGGTGTTCTTTGGCATTGATAGCACTCTATCATTCTTTTAGCTCTTTGTTTTCTTTTGGAAATGCAGCCTCCTTCTCTTCCCTTTCCTTATTTTCTTTGTCTTTTGCCTAAGGTCTGCCAGTTGGCATCCTCCTAAACTTGATCTCTGTAGTGCTCCTCATTGCATTTGGTTTAGGTCAGATACTGTAAACATATGTTTATTTCGAATTTAAGCAACCAGAGAGATCAGGTGATTGGTGATTCTGCCACCGCCCCCTGAGTGTTGTATAGTGGTAGCTGATGTTTTTGATAATACTTACCATATTTTGAATACTTCTATGTCCCAGATAATGTGTTAAGAACTTTACATACTATTTCACTTAATCCTTTTTAAAAATCCACTTTTTTGATGTATAATTTACATACAATAAAATGTGTTTATTTAAAGCATAGTGTTTGATGAGTTTTGACAAATGTGTACACCCAAGGAAATGCCACCACAATCAAGATAAAGCAACATTTCAGACATCCAAGAAGTTCCCTTGTACTTCTTTGCAAGTCAGTCCCTCTCCACTAGTATTTCTAAGCAACTACTCATTTGCTTTCTCTCCCTCTAGACTAGTACTGTCTTTTCTAGAATTTCATTTAAATGGATTTCATATACTCTTGTGTTCGGCTTCTTTTGCTCAGCATGATTCATTAAAGATTCATCCTTGTTACATGTATCAGTCCATTCCTTTTTATTACTGAATAGTATTCTAGTGAGTTGATATAATATATTCATCCATCCATCTGGATATTTGATTTACTTTCTGTTTTTGGTTTTCATTTAATCCTTGTAACAGTCAAGTGTGATATTATTGTTTGTTTTATGAAGAAACTGAGGGTCTCACTGTTAGAAACTGGCAGGACTAGAATTCATGCCCTTGCTTTTATAATATCACAAAAACCATTCTTATAACTACTAGGCTTCGTATTGACTTCCTACAGAACCACAAATTAGCTTCTGAACTATTGTTAAGTTCATTATAGTTTTTGTAAATAATGTTTTACTTTTTATAATTTGATTGGAATATTAAATTATTAAGTGTAGTTTTTCGTCCCTTAACTGTGTCTGACTTTTGCTTTTGGCTTTTCAGATTTTGTTTCTTTTTCTTTTTTTTCTTAGAAGTTTGTTAGCTTTGCTTCCCTGTCCTGGCACCATTGTGTTTATCTGAATGTTTATGTTATCTTAGCATATAAGAAATTTGTGGGAACCTGTCCTACTTTATTATTAAGATTTTATCCTAATAGAATGTCGCCTTTCTAAGGGCAAGGATTTTTGCATATTTTGTTCATTAATGTATTCTGAGTTCCCCAGAACTGTGCCTGGCACATAATATATGCTTGCTAAATGTTGCGTAAATGTTGAATGGGGCTTTATACCAAGATCTATGTTTTTGTGAAACACTGTGTGTGTGTGTGTGTGTGTGTGTGTGTAAAATTCATTAACAGAATTTGGTAAATTATTCTTCTGGGAATTCTTTTTGGTTTCTTACTTTAGTATGACATATACGTAAATACCAAACCTTTTTATTTCCCTCTTGAGTGAGAGGCTCCTTTAAATACAGAATTTTTTTATACATAGGTATGGCTGCAATATTAGTTTTCATCTTGTGTTAATTATTCTTATAGGTGTACGTATATTTATGTAAGATATTTTTTGTAGTAACGTACCATTAACCAAAATCTATGTGAAACATGTGATTTTGCTTATTTTTAAAGAAAAGACCATGACTGATTTGAATTGCCTTTTCTCCTTTTATGTTTTAGTTGCCTAATTTTGGTATTATCTTAATATTTTAAGGGACATTTTCAAAGATAGAGTAGGAATATATTCAGTCTTTCTCACATTTCAAAGTTATTTTTGGCACTAACACATTTCATGTTTCATGATAGGGTTCTAGAGAGGATATAAAATGCAGTTTTGTAAATTGATCTTGTAAAAACATTTAACATTTTTTCTTTCAACAAAAGCAAATACTAGCCAGGTATCATCTGAGTGACAAATATTACTTAAATGTGACATTAAGAAGCTATTTTAAAGGGGTAAGTATGTCAAAGTATTTGTAAGACTGTGTGCTGGAGTGTTAGGATTAAAATTAAAAGAAGAATAGAATACAGATCTTGACTTCAGAGAACTTAAAGGAATCATTGAGGTCTAAAACATTTTTGGAAAGTTAGCAAAAACTACCAGGTTAAGTTGACCTGACAAAGAGCATTAGAAAAAGCTAAATGTCAGTATACTTAAGAGAGAAAACTGTTACTGGAATGTATAGAGGAGTTGGAGAGAGATTTAACCATTTGGGCTTTCAGGTTTGGTTGTACAGTGTGTATTGAAGCAAATACTTGAGTGCAGGAATTTTTAAGGAATTTCTATGGATGTTGGGGTGCCTGGGTGACACAGTTGGTTAAGCGTCCGTCTCTTGGTTTAGGCTCTTCGTTTAGGCTCAGGTTGTGATCTTAGGGTCT